TGGTGGGGGGGGGGGGGGGGGGGGGGGGGGGGGCGGCATCTATATATTTAACACAGCTCACTATAATAACTTGGCCTCGCTCATTCGTCACGAGGCAAATCCCATCAACCCTAAGAAAGTCCATTGCCTGCTCTATCTCTCTCCCTCTCTCTCCCCCGAGAGGTTAGGGTTTTGATCGATTGAAATTTATTTTTTCTCTTCATTTTTTTTTTTGTAAATTTACCTGCAGATTTTTAGTGTTGTTACTGCTATATATTTTTCGGATCGTAATATGCAATAAAACACTGCTTTTTTCTTTATTTGCTCCGACAGCTACCAGTCCCGTGTGTTGATCATCGATGGATCCTCAACCTGAACCTGTGAGCTACATCTGTGGAGGTGTGCATCTAACTTCGTCTGTGTGTGTGTGTTTTTCACTTGCAGTTTTTTTTTGTATAATCATACATGTATATATGTATATATGTATGCGGTATATCCATGTATAGGTATATTATCTCTTGTTTGTTTTATTTGACTTAATGTTTTATCTGGGTATAAATTGATTGTGCAGATTGTGGGCAAGAAAACACGCTGAAGCAGGGTGATGTGATTCAATGTCGAGAGTGCGGTTACCGGATTTTGTACAAGAAGCGAACCCGTAGAAGTAATTGGTTTTAACACCCTTTTATTGATCCATTTACTTGTTTATTTCTTTTGATATCTGTCCTTATGGCTTTAGGAAACATGGGTCATGCTTAAAATCCCTAATATTTTGTAGCCGCGCTGATTTCTGGATGCTTGCAATTAATGGTTTCCTTGTTAATTTTATGCTTCATGTTGCAACTTGCAAGTACTTCTGTTTTGGTGTTCAATTTGAAATTGAAATTGAAATTTGTGTTGGCTTTTGCTCTCAGGGAATCATCTTTGTGAAATTTCTAGGATAGTTGACAGTTGTAGGATTAAGCACAGTTTTTTTTATAGTTTCTGGATAGTCATGACCTAATTTTGGTGACGAATACTTTTGTATGGTTCGACCTTTGATTATTATTCTATTTTTTTGCTTATTTATGTTGGACCATTGAGCTTTTGCTAAATGGTTATTGTTACGATATTTTAGTTACTTTTTAGCCACAAGATGGGAATTCTAACCAGTTCCTGCACTATTTTGTGATAATTTACTACGCCACATAATTACAAACAATTCAGTAGATGACTTAGAGTAGTTTAATTGCAGTTCTAGGTTTTAGTTTCCTTTTTCATAGTGTGAACTTGACATATTACATTGGTTGAGTCTGTTGCACTTTGACCACCAGTGTTTATGAGTGTTCAGTTGTGCTAGTTAAGTATTGTGTCTGCTGCCTTGATATCAAGGTGGTGGATGAGCTTTTTTGTACGATGCTATTTTGGATCTAGTTCTGAGGTTCATATAGGTTTGTTTGGCGTGTGGTATTACCACTCAGGAAATCAAGGTAATTTGCTACTTGGTTCTTTAATTAGTGTATTTCTTCCCTAGCTACGCATTAACAGAGTTGAAGTTTTTTGGCTTTTCCTAGGAGGCCGCAGAGTATCTCATGAAGTTAACAATAAACTTTAGAACTGTTTTCTGTGGCAAGATTACTCATATTGTGGATTTTGTTGTTCCACTATGGACCTATTTGGGCAGAGGCTATAAATATTTGAAGGTGATGAAGACCAACAAATTTGGGTTGTCATATTACTAGTTTAAGTTGTTGAAGATACTTGTTGAAAAGGCTCTGATTGTCACTTATTAGTGTTGCTACCTATGCTTTCTTAATGGAATGATTTTTATTGGTCACAAGAGACGACAAGAGTGCTCGTAATGGTTTGAGCAGATTGTGATTGTGACTGCTGTGCATTAGGCATTTGCTTTTGATGTATTTGGTAACCCCTTTAATAGGATTCTAGCTGATGATGCTAATTGCCCTCTTGTGCTAGTACCACTGGGTTACTCTATCATCATCACCCAATGTTCATGATTTTCTTCGTGGTCGTATTTTGGTTACTTCTGTTAATGATCTGTAACGTGTTTCCTTCTACACTGCACCTTTCAGAGTTGCTATATGGGGAAAGATGAATGGTAGGTGTGAGCATGTATACCTTACTGCCTCATTTTGTTTGAGTTGACGTGATGCCCTTGTTTCACTTCACATTCTGCAAGGGAAGACTCTTGTTTTGGTTATCTGTCTCTGTATTAAGTTGTTTCTTGAAGTTTCAATTGTGAGACTGCATCACGAGTTTTTCCATGTTTTCCCTTGGGGTTCCCTAAATATGGCTGTTTACCTGGTTTGATTCTGTTTGCTGCAGTTGTTCAGTACGAAGCACGCTGAAATAAACATTGCAGAAGGATAAAAGTTGGCGAGACGATATTAAGCATCTCTGATGCAGTACTGCTAGTGGCATCGTGGTTTATTTTGTGTATGGTTGGTTGTAGGAATGGACTTAATTTATAGATTTTTGTAAACATGTATTAAGTGCAATGAATAGAGTTTTTGCTCGTGTTGTGTGGTCGACAGTTTTGCTTATTTGAGATCCTCTCTATTATATGTATTTTTTAATTTTATGGTAAATCACCTATCACTAATACAAGTTGGATTTACTATTTGTAAGTGGGTCCTCGGTCTTCACCCATACACGTTAGGTGATATACCATTGGATACCCATTTTGCTGTGGACGCAAGTTAATTGTGTCTAATATGAGTTAGATTCACTTTTTCATTGTGTGCCCAACTCTAAACACTTCGACCATATTAAGCTAATAATTTTTGGTGTTATATATATGTCATCCTCGCATGAATTGCGACTTTGAAATTCTCAAATGTAGCTATTGGAATGTTAAAAGAATCATGAAACATTTACCCATGATGGACCACGGATTCAAATTTTATCATGGATAGAGTAGGTGCAAACGTATTAGCATTAAAAATGATCGAGTGAAGTGTTGAAGTGTCGGGTTAAAGTTTGGTTTGGGTGGAACCAACGGCGCGAGTCAGTTTTATAAATTGGATTGAACTTGAATTGAGTTCAACTCTGTTCATCCTAGTCGAAGGAAACTCCAAGATTATATTTTTTTTTGAAGGGTTAATCTCATTTTGTAACCCGAAAGATCGTTTGAATCTCAATTTGTACCTCCAAAGATCAAAAATTTTAATTTACACCCTTAAAGATAGAAATTTGTATCAATGTACACCCCCAAAGATAAAAAATCTCAATTTACACCCTCAAAGATAGAAATCTGTATCAATGTGCATCTAAAACTAAATTGATAAATTATACCTAGATCCTCTCATGTTTTTCACTTAATCATTTGAACCCCTTTACATTTAGAATATTACTCATACATCTCATGACGTTTGTACATGTGTAAACATAACCACTTTTCGTTGATATCTGTTAATATAATCGTTAAAAAATATGATTTATCTTAATAAAAAATTATAATTTCATATTTCCTTATATTTTGTGAATTCGATATACTCTAAAGTTCAAAATCAAGTTTACCATTTGAATGTCTAATAGAATGTAGATATTTATATAAAGGAAAATATAAAAAACATTATATAAATATCTACATTTTATTAGACATTCAAATGGTAAACTTGATTTTGAACTTTAGAGTATATTGGATCCATAAAATAAGGGTAATATGAAATTATAATTTTTTATTAGGACAAAATTATATTTTTTAACGGTTATATTAACAGATATCAATGAAAATGAGTTACATGTTGTACGTGCATAAATGTCATGAGATATAGGAGTAATATTCTAAATGTAAAGATATCCAAATGATTAAGTGACAAGTATGAGGGGATCTAAGTATAATTTATCAATTTAGTTTTAGGTACACAATGATACAAATTTTTATATTTGAGAGTGCAAATTGAGATTTTTTTATCTTTGGGGTGTACATTGATATAAATTTCTATCTTTGAGGGTGTAAATTGAGATTTTTGATATTTGGGGGTACACATTGATACAAATTTCTATCTTTAAGGGAGCAAATTGAGATTTTTATTCTTTGAGGGTGCAAATTAAGATTCGAACGATCTTTCGGGGTGTAAAATAAAATTAACCCTTTTTTGAATTACACTCAAAGATTATCCTATTCGAATTACACTTTAACAATAATGATTAATTTCAAATCATAGAAACAAAATACAATAGAAGATGAAAATGGAACAATTAAATAACACCATTGATATGCTTCCCAAAGTATTTATCAATTTTACATCCCTAATCAATCTAGATAGTTGGATCACTCAAAAAACGAAAAAACAATGCTCCTGGAACACACACATTTGAAGATTCCTAGGGTAATATGAGAGGTCCAGGTGGCAAAGTAGCACTGGAGCATCACAGATTTATTTCCAGCAAGGCAATAATAAAATCTCTTATCCAAATAATGAGGCCACTTGGGTCATCTTTACTGGACCAGAAGAGCCTAACCTAATCTGGGAATTCAGGTTGCTTCATGTCCACCACAATTTCAATGTTCTCCACCACCCCCACACAATTCTGTGCCTTGGCCAGGCCCTTATTTGCTGCCTTTTGCTTATTGTTGGGTATAGGGAAGAGAGAGCTATTCTTCTTTGAGAGTAGCCAATTGCAAAGCTTTTCAGAGTGACAAAAAAAAATGGCAACACAGGCACTGGTTTCCTCATCGTCTATTACCTCATCAGTGGAGGCTGCAAGACAGAGATTAGGAGGAAGGCCACTTCAGTCTCACACAAGGAAGGTTTCCGTTGTTGTCAGGGCTGCTTCTACTCCCCCTGTTAAGGTCTCTCTTTCTCTCTCTCTCTCTCACAATTTCAACATATACCTGCAGCATATATATATTCAGTGCAAACAAAAGAACATCCATGAAAACACCAAAACTCCTCTGATTTTGACTTTGTGGTAAGAAATCTGAATGTCCCATGTTTCATGATCAAATGTTGACCATTGACACAATCATGGTGTAGTTGAATGTTCTAGTTCTTAAACAGCTGAGATGAGTCTCTGGGTGGGTGTTTAATTAATTAGTAAAAGATACTAGATAACGTCAGGTTTACTTACTAGACATGGGTTCGTGTGTTTTCAGCAAGGAGCAGACAGACAACTCTGGTTTGCATCCAAGCAGAGTCTTTCTTACTTGGACGGCAGGTAACTTATGCACACCTTGATATTCCTATTAGACTAAAGAGGAACTTAGTTTACAAGAGAGGCAAGTATGGTTATCAATTTAACGTGTTAACACGAACTGAATACAAACCCAACATGCCGTAAACAGACCCAACTCGATTGACACCCTTAGAAGAAAAGAGAGCAATGAATACAAAATAGAAAACAACATATGGTGCGGCCAAGCTACCAGAAATGACAGATGTGAGAGACTTATGCAACCTCTGTTGTGTTTCAATGAAAAAGTTAACTATGATATGAGAAGCTAGGGCTGATAGTCCTAAAAAGCTCATTTTTTTAACCGAGTTTAAAATATTGTTTAAATTTGACTTGTTTTTGACCTCGTTTAAAAACGAGTCGAGCTTGAATGAATTGAACCCGAGCCGAGCCTGAATATTTGTACATAAACGAGTCAAGCCTGTCAAACTTGTTTTCCAAACAAGCATAAAAAATTGTTGAAGTTTGATTCGATTAACACCCTAATGCCAGCATGCACCAGTACTTGAAACTAATCCAAATTTTTTTGCTTGAAAATTGGAAATTACTTACAGCCTCCCAGGTGACTATGGATTTGATCCACTGGGGCTCTCAGACCCTGAAGGCACAGGAGGTTTCATTGAGCCCAGATGGTTAGCCTATGGAGAAGTCATCAACGGCCGATACGCTATGTTGGGTGCAGTTGGAGCTATTGCACCTGAGATCCTTGGGAAGGCTGGCCTTATTCCACCTGAAACAGCACTCCCATGGTTCAAAACTGGCGTATTTCCGCCTGCTGGAACATACAACTACTGGGCAGACCCTTACACTCTATTTGTATTCGAGCTGGCACTCATGGGTTTTGCAGAGCACAGGAGATTCCAAGACTGGTACAATCCAGGATCCATGGGTAAGCAGTACTTCTTGGGTTTTGAGAAATACCTGGGAGGGTCAGGTGACCCGGCATACCCTGGTGGACCTCTGTTCAACCCTCTTGGATTTGGAAAAGATGAGAAGTCCATGAAGGAATTGAAGCTGAAGGAGGTGAAGAATGGGAGGTTGGCAATGTTGGCAATCTTGGGTTACTTTGTGCAAGCTCCGGTGACTGGTGTAGGCCCTTTCCAAAACCTCCTGGATCACTTGGCTGACCCTGTAAACAACAATGTGTTGACCAGCCTTAAGTTCCACTAAAAGGCGTAGTTTAGTTCATCTCTCTCTCCTCTTATTTATATGATCATGTGCACTTCCAGACTTTGATTGATGTATCATCTGTAATCTGTAACAAACATGTTGAGTACCATGAAATCTTCTTCTTATTTCACATTAATCTATAAAATTTGGCATCAAAACTGTTTACATATGATGCAATATGAGAGATGCCCTTTCTTTTCCGAACAGGCTATATTGCTTTATATCTCGTCATTTCTGTCTTCCCAGTAAATCAATCTATTCTTCTTTCCAAGCAGGTGGCAATGGGTCTCTTAGAAATTTTTTTTCCTTCTTATTACGATTTTTTGCATCTTTATTAAGAGATATTAATATTCTTTCTTCAATGAATTTCAGGTGTCCCACTTTGTAGGTTTTTTTTGCCCTACTACTACTTCTAAGGATAGATAGTTTAGGTCGGAGAAAAAAAAATTAAGGATATGGATTAATAACAACGAAAGGATTCTAACATTCAGAACACCAACTGAAAGAAACCATGCATCGCCGGTCTTCCGAGACAGAACTCACCTAACAAGACCAAGCAAGCGAGAAGAGCATGAGTGAGAGATTGCCTTAGTCTTGACTTAGAAACCGAGTTTTTTTTTCTTATTATACACACAATGCACAAACATTTACTATTGTCAAATGTATTTGAGCTGTGAACGCCTTCATTCGCAATTATTTTCTTATCATAGGCCTGCTATTGCAAAGATAGAAGAGCCTTGTAGCATAGTATAATCCGATCATGTACACCTACGAGTCAAACGACAGATTGTAGATTTCAATTAGATGCACTAGTTGTCAAACTAAAGAAAATAGAGAAATGCTTTGGAAAAACCTTCCTCTCTGAGTTCTCCCCTTTCATTATATATAAGTTCCATCTATACTATTCTATACATGGCACCTAACTGATTCCTAAAATTCAGCATCAATACATGATAAGATAATTTTTACAGCTAATATTGACAAAGTCCTAAATTATATAAATTCCTAAAATTGTATATGGTAACATCCTCCCTCAAATTGATGTTGGTAAGTCAGCTAGCAACAATTTGCCAACAATAAATTGATGTTGTTGTCGAGTCATAGCTTTGGCGAAGACATCAACCACTTGAAGATCAGAAGATATGTGAGGAAGAGATATCACTCGACTTTCCAAGGTGTCTCGAATAGAATGAGAATCAACCTCAATATGTTTGGTGCGTTCATGAAAAACGGGATTAGTGGCATTCTGAATAGCACTAGTGTTATCAGCATGAAGAGGGGTAGGAGTGGTCTGAGGAAACCTAAGCCCCTCAAGAAGACTGCGTAGCCATACAATTTCAGAACAGGCAATAGACATGGCACGATCCTCGGCCTCAGTAGAGGATTTAGAAACACGATCTTGTTTCTTACATCTCCAAGAAATTAAAGCATCACCTAAAAACATACACCAACCCATAGTAGATCAACGGGTATTCAGACACCCAGCCCAATCAACATCACTATAGGCAACAAGTTGAAGAGAGGAGAAGATAGGAAAGGACAACCCACGAGTAGGTGATCCTTGAAGATAAAGGATGATACATCGAACTGCAACAAGATGAAGATGCTGAGGAGAAGACATAAACTGACTAACCTGATGAATAGCATAGAAGATATCAGGTCGAGTAGATAAGACTCCCAACCAAGCGCCAATAGTGATTAGGATCATCTAGAAGGTCCCCTTCATCTTTCTTGTATTTGACATTTTCCTCCATAGGAGTATCAACAGAAGAAGTGTCCTCCAAACCAGCCAAAGTGATAAGATCTTGAATATACTTATGCTGGTTCACGAAAATACCATCAGCCCGACGACGATGAACTTCCAATTCTAAAAAATATGTGAGTTGGCCAAGATCTTGCATATGGAAAGTTGCATGTAACAACGGCTGAAGCTTAGTAATCAAACCACAATCAGTACCAGTAATGATAATATCATCCACATAAACCAAGAGAAGGACTATACTCGACACAGATGTGTGGAAGAAGAGAGAAGAATCATACTGACTTTGTATAAAACTAAAGGAAAGAAGTGTACTGCGAAACTTCTCAAACCAAGCCCGAGGCGCCTATTTGAGCCCATACAAAGAAAGCCTAAGGTTATAGACATCATGAGGAGAAGAAGTAGTCATACCAGAGGGAAGCTTCATGTAAATCTCTTTCTGGAGATCACCATGAAGAAAGACATTTTTCACATCCATTTGATGCAATTGCTACAACTGTGAAGCAGCAATAGCTAAGATGGTTCAAACCATGATCATTTTGTCAATAGGAGCAAATGTCTTCTCATAATCAACCCCATATTCCTGCTTGTTACCCAGAGCTACGAGGCAAGCTTTGTACCGGTCCAAAGAGCCATCAAAACGAAGTCTTACAGAGAAAACTCATTTACTCCCAATAGGTTTGAATGTAGGAAGACAAGGAACAATATTCCAAGTGTGATTCTCCTCAAGTGCTTGAAGTTCTGCTTGCATTGCATTTTGCCAACACTCATGTTCCATAGCCTCTTTGTAGCAAGGGGGAATGGAAATAGTGGATAAAGTAGCGACAAGAGAGAAGAATCCATACCAATCAGGAGGTCGAGTGGTGGAAGTAGGAGCAAGATCAGGTGTCAGGTCAAGATCGGAAAGGGGCACAGAGGAAGTGGAACCAAACTCATGTCGACGACATCTTTCATACACAAAACCAGGTTTGAACCTTTCCACAATTGTTGGGGAATTAGAAAAACTAGGCATAAGAGATAAAGATGTAGATGACACTCAACATGAGATGGAAAGAAATATTGATTTTCAAAGATAATCACATTCCTAGAAACCCGTATACGACGAGCATGGGGATCATAACAAACATAACCCTTTTGAGGGATAGCATAATCAAGAAAAACACACTTAATAGACTAAGCAGTAAGTTTATGTCGTTCATGAGCAGGGACATGCACAAAACAAACACAACCAAATGTACGAAGATCAGAATATAAAGGAGAATGACCAAATAACTTAAAGAAATGAGAAACATCGTTTAATGTAGGAGAGGGTAAGCGATTGATCAAATGAACTGAAGTAGAAAGTGTTTCACACCAAAAATGAGGAGGAACAAATGATTCAAGTGAAATAGTTCTTACCACATCAAGAATGTGACCAACACCATTTTGTTGTGGTGTCAAAGGAAAAGAACGCTGAGAAATGATCCATTTGCTTTGAAGAAAGTCTTAAAACTCATTAGACATGTATTCGCCGCCAAAATCAGAGTGCAAGACCTTGATGCTGACAGAGAATTGAGTCTCAAGAAGTGCAAGAAATCGCGTAAAGACTAAAAAAACTTCGGCCTTAGCCCGGAGGAAGTAAACTCAAGTAAAGCGACTAAGGTCATCAATGAAAGTAACAAAGTACTTGTAATGAGCATGAGAAACAACAGGTGTAATCCCCCAAACATTACTATGAATAATATCGAAACATTGTAAGGCACGAGATGCATGATGAGGAATAGGTAGAACTTTACTTTGGCCAAGTTTACTTGATGTACAATCAAAAGAAAGATCAAGAGAAGAACATGCTTTATTTTCCAATAATCCAAAATTAAACAAAGTGCGAAGTACATCAGAGTTTGGGTGGCCTAGACGTCTATGCCACATCTTATTTCCAGAACCAATAACATTACATGCAAAAGAAAGTAAAGGAAAACTAGGAATAATAGTGGAAGGAGAAACATGAAGAGGAAAGAGTTGTCCCACTTTAGGCCCCTTTCACGATTATCTTCCTCAACACTTGATCCTGCACAACACAACCAGAATGGGAGAAATGAACATTACAATTATTATCAACCAATTGACCAACAGAAATAAGATTTATGGAGAGGTCAGGAGACACAAAAACATTAGTTAAGGAAGTAGAAAGATCACCAACAACACTGATAGGCAGAGAATTGCCATCAGCGGTGTTAATTTTTAGATTTCCATCATAATTTCTGACATTGCAAAGAGCAACAACAGTATTGGTCATGTGGTTAGAGGCTCCGGAGTCAAAATACCATGGCTTAGAAAAAACTTTATGATTACCTGAAAGCCCAAAAGTCGAAAAAACAGAAATGATCATATGTTGTACCATTTTAGGAGTGAGTGTGTTCGGGTTTGCTAAGGCTGTAGGAGCATGAATAGGATCAACTGGCGAGGCAGTAAGCAATGCAGTAGAACTAGAGGCACCAGTGGAGGCATGATAAGCAGTACCCTGCTTCCTTTCAAGTCAAATGGGACAAGTAGAGATGATATAACCCTATTTATTGCAATAGTTACAGAACTTCTTGGGGCAATCCCGAGCAATATGACCAAAAGCTTTACAACTAAAGCACTGGACAACACGCATGTCTCTACCCTTATTCCTACCCTGTGCTGCATAAGCCATAAAAACAGGTGCACTAATATTAGCTCAATGTTCCATGGTAGCCTGAGTTACGATACGCTACTCCTTACGAAGAAGTTCCCTCAAACAGGCATCTAGAGATGGTACAGGATGACGATTCATCAGATTAGAACGTGTAATTTCAAAATCAGAACGGAGCTTCATCAAGAATTGATCTCTCTTGCTTATTTCATGCATTGCTTGAATAGCAGAGAGAGCTTCAGCGGGAACATTAGCATTAACAATATCTGACTAATTAGCCCAAATGGATACATAACGACTATCTTCAAGTCACCCTCTATTTCGAAAATGACCACATAAACATATAGAAACTTCTTTTTTCATCCTTAACATCTCTTGACAATGACTTGAATTTTCATCAAGTATTTCATTTAAATATCCAGACCCACGAAGCACACCATTAGTGTCTGGCCTTCGTCCAACACGTTTTTTCCTCAATATTTTGAAGATCAAAGAAGTTACAACAACCTTCAATGCACACGTCTATTTTTTAGACAACATGCTGTTAGACAGTATTAACAAAATCTAATCAGTCTAACATAAGACAATTTAACTATGTATGTCAGCTTTCAAAATAATTGACATTCAAAAATCACTACAGATAATTTCAACAATAACAATGTCATCAATGCATGATATACTTATTGAGACTATTGCAAAAATTATAAAACAAATAAATTTAAACAATCTTTCATATTCAAAATAGTTATAAATTCTTCCTATAAAAATAATATTCATAACTTCTAGTAATTCCTAAAATTCAAAACAACTTTAGTTTCTTACCATTCATTTCTATCCATGTTTTTCTAACTATTTCTAGTTTTTGATGTAATAACATCAATTGTTCCTTGTGTGTTTTACTCTCACAAAAAACACTACATGCAACAGAATACAATGGATCACTCATTTTAAAAAGCTGCATCTCATCCAAAATATGATTGCATTCTTCTATACTTGATCCGTTGGCATTTTGTAATGTCTTTAGAGCTTCAAATAATTGTTCATCAAGGTCACTATGTTTACTTTTCTTTTGACATTTATTGTCTTGTTTTGTCACATCCTTTGGTGAAGAAAGTATCTCAACAAGATTCAACATCAAGATTAATCGGTGTTTGTGACTGCGAGCCGACCATATCCATTGGCAACCCTTCCTACGATGGACCCCATGAATTTTTTCCAATTGCTCTAAAACCATCAAACAAAACTTTTAACTCATTTGTATATTATAGTCTATTATAGTGAAATTACATTGCATCTGGATTAGCCTGTGACATAAAAATATAAAAAAACTCAAGAATTATTTGTGTTATGGTTCTATAAGAATAATTAACAATGAATAAAGTAATACCTTTATATACTCCTCTCATTCTGTTGAACTCCAATTAATAGTATTTGTTTCAGGATCGTAACCATTTTTAGTTTTTGATATTATTTTTAACCATATTCCATATTTTGTTCTTAGATATTCCCACTAATTCTTCAATTGTTTATGGAAAAAGTCAACATTCTTCCGCTCTTTTAAAGCTACCCTCATATAATCGCAAGATTCTTTTTTCAGGCTACCTCCATTTCTTCCTTTATCAAATGATTTTTGCAGACACAAATCTATAAAGATTTTAAGCAAATCTGAATCCTTCCAATTTGTTCTAGCACCATCACTATAAGTCATCCCTACATAACCATTTTTTAATAGAATATCAGACTATGTGGTGTTGTTTAACATTGTCAAATTATTATCAAGACCCACTAGTATACAAAAAAATTGATGATTACAAGAATTGAAGAACACAAGACAATTAACCAATAACCAAAAAAAAAAAAAAACAAGAAGATATGTTAGGTTTGTTTTTCACACACCAAGACACATCAATACTTATCAAATAAAACATATTCAGAACTTCAATTCACACTGTATTGTCAAAATTTTGGATACAAACACACTTATGTATTTTCTTTGAAGCAACAAATCAAACAGACATCATACAAACACAAAAAAGTAATCCCAAAATTGAAAAAACTTAAAACAGCAAAAATACACTCCATAACAAAAACACTCAATATCCGATTCACTCACTCAATATCGGAAAAACACACTAAATATTGGATTCACTCACTTGATAGTGTTTTTTTATTAAACAAACTCACTTTGATAATTCAATAACCCATAAATCAATTTAACATAATAAAAAAAAAAGCACCTTGAAATTCTTGGCATAAATTAACCCATAAAACATAAATCATTTTTTTTTGTTCATTCACGTTCGTTCATCAAAATCACACGTTGAAATTCTTGGCATAAATTAACCCATAAACCATAAATATTTTTTATTTATTTATTTTTGTTCATTCATGTTTGTTCATCGAAAATTCAATTTTGTTTTATGAAACGGTGAAGAGTGAAGATGTAAAAACAAACAAACGACTTGATGAACGATCGCTCATGCTTTGGTCCACGTGCTTTGATGCAAAGCCTGACCCATTATTTTTGTTTCTCTCTGATAATTATATTGTTTGTGTTGTTACGCCGGAGATGGTAGTTTGCTTGTGTGTTGTTGCATCAAGAAGAAAATAGGAAGAATGGAGGAAGAAGACAAGAAGAACATACCTGCTTTAGTTGGATGGCGCTCGCAGAGGCAATGAAGAAGTTTGAGATTGTGAAGAAGACGCAAAGGCGATGAAGGAGATATGCAATAAAGATGTGAAACTATTGGGGCAAATTTGTCAAATAAAATTTTATTAAAAAAACCTAGTTGCTGAACGTATTCAGCCTTCAACATTAAGTAGGTAAAGAGCTACTTAAAAGTTTACCTTGCATTTAGGTGGCACTTATTTTATTAAGGAGTTATAATATTAAGTTATCAAATGAGCTTATTTATTAAGCACCGAAAGTGTTCAGTTTTAAGACTTAAGTTGGATTATCAAACACACCCTTAGTCCAAAACTTGAAATCAGCAACTAAGATTTTATTTGTTGACCACCCAAATACTTTATGTTCACCAATATGCTAGATTAAGAAGGTAATTCGACACATTTAAATTAATCATACTCATTATCAATCCAACGATTATGATAAACTAAGTCAATAAATTATGTCAACAAATTATTTCTACATAGTATTATTGATATGATTATGTCAAACATGTCTAGATGCCCACATACATGCGTGGACACAAGAGGATGAGTCGATTACTCTAAGAAAACTGAATTAAAAAAAAAAGGCACACATGCATACAGACAAACAGTTGTACGCAGATATGTAGATATGTCACCAAGTGAAGATGTGGACATTGCAAAACCCTTTTGAAGCTCAATAATTTCCCTCTAAACTCTATTAAGCTGCCTATTGTTCTCTTAGGCCTATGCTTATGAAGAGCTAGTTTGTGCTCTTATGCCAATAAAAACACTGCTAATGGTTGTGGTGAAAGAAAGTATTCAAATACCAATTTTGCATCCACTAAACATCATTCACTAGTGGTCTCTTATTGAACTTTAAAGTCGCAAGTTCGAATTTTGAAAATTTACTCAAACAAAAAAACATTGTTGATCAAAACAAAAGAAATGGCTAATTACTCATTTTTAAATCTAAACTTAAATTTGGATAAAAAAACTCTTAAAACCTTTCTCCAATACTAAAGCCTAAATCCATACACATATCAAAGTGAGAAAACATTTTTTTTTTTCCTCAAATCAAAGTAAATTTAAATCTTTATTGATGAGATTTCACATTTTTTAAAAAATCAAATGATTATAGTTTACCATCTTTTAAATTTGAATTTATACTCATTTAAAATTGAATTTCTCTTTCTTTTAAATTTGAGTTTATCTATCGAAGATGTTTATATCAAATTAAACTTTTTACATAAACATACACCAAACTAATACAATAAAAAACCTAAATCTAGTTTAGTTTCCAACACACACACACAATTCCACTCCCCAATTAGAAACACCATACCGATATACATTGCCATCACCCACTCCGAAATCCAAAAATCCACATGCTACAACAATCCAACGATGTGAACCCATGTTGAAGTAGGTCGATTTTTTGGTTTCTGTTCTACCCACCATGGAAAGGCAGTGGCTGGCAACCAATTTGGAGGCAAAATGGAGTTACAGGGCGTCGGTGGCATGGGGATGACGTGTAACACAGAGATAGATAGAGAGAGAGAGAGAAAGCATACAGCTCTCTGTGTGTTGATTTTTATAATTTTTGTCCTTAAAGATATGGGTAAAATATATTCTTGGTTATCAAATTATGCATTTATAGTCTATTTGACCCTCAATCTTTTAATTGTGTCTATTTGATTCTTAAGCTTCTTAAGTTATGTCTATGCGGTCTAAACTTCTATTAAAAAATCGTTGACGGTTCTTATCACGTGTAAATCACGTAATTTTGAATTGTGTCTATTGGAGTCCTAAACTTCTTGATTTGTGTTTATTTGGTTCCATGTGATTGACGCGTAATCAGAGCCATTAACAATTTTTTAAAGGACATTTAGATTGAACTACGTAAATATAAATTATGAATCTTAGGGATCAAAAAGACACAACCGAAAGACGGAAGACGAAGTAGACATTACATGCATTTTTTGAGGACCAAAGTGTATTTTATCAACAAGTATTGAGATGATAAGATTGTGATCTAATCAAATGTTTTCTTACAATAACTGTTCGACTTATTGTTCACGCGCCTCATTAATAAGCGTGTGGTTCAGAGTACCGTCAGAATTAACAGAATCTATTACTTACGCACTTTATTCAAAACTACTTAGGGGGTTTAGTGAAAACCGTAATAGTTGAGGGATAGTTATGTGTTATATCTCCCAAGTTAAAGCAGGCTCAATGTAATTTGCCCAAAAAAAGGCAATCACACTTACACCCCAAAAATATTTAATAATTTTTATTTTATACATTAAAAGATTAAATTTTATATATTACATCTTTCCTACATAAAAAATATTGTAATGTGGCATTGTGTTAACTTTCTTTACTTGTTTCGTAAAAAATTACGAAATGAGTAAGAAAAATCATATTAAAATATTTTTAATACATTAAAAATATATGTGAAAAATTTATTCTATGAGAATATAAAATAAAAATTCTTAATTTTTTGGAGTGTATGGAGTAATTTGAAAAAAAAAAAAAAAATCTATTAAATGACCACTGCCTCCACTAGTTGGAATAAATAGTGGATGTAATCAATAGTGTTATGTAGTGTCTACTAATAAGTAATAATTTTATTTATTTTATAATTTTTTTATTAAATAATTACATCACGTGAACCATTATACTCGGTATTTACTATTTACTCCACTCTGCTTGACCTTCAGGTTTTAAAGTCACGGGCTCGAACATCGTGGTGTCGCTCCCCGTCTAGGGCGTCGCACTTGGTCCCACCTCCTGAACCACGTTCTGCACACGCGATGTGGGCCGGAGTTGAATAGATTACTCTGAAATTCTCTCTCCATTTGCACAACTTTCTTTCATCCACTATCTTCAATCCTTATCAAGCCCCGATCTAAATCTAACTAACAGCAAGTCAAATTCCAGTCGAAGCTGAATTCTCAGATCGGCCTTCGGTGGTGCGTCTTCAAATCTTTCTTTTGCTGTGTCTTCAGGTCTGTACTGAAACTTCCCCTTTGTGTATCTGATCTGTGTTAATTGTTGTTGTCTGTGTGTTCTGTTGGAATAATTTAGTTTACTGCTTTGCTCTGTACTATTTCCTTTATCGAAACCGTAGATTTGGAGTTGTGGCGGTTGAGGTATTCAATGTTTGTGGGCGACTTACTATTTTTTGCTCTGTTACTTCTTATGGACCACAGATGAATTTTATATGTATATAGCAGCTCATAGCTACTTCGATCTGTACTTTAACAGTTGAAAACAGTTATTTTTGACAATAAGTTCTAGAGTATAATTCTATTTTGTTATGTATGTATGTATGTATGTATGGGTACTCTTCCAGTGTCTATATATGGGGTTTGCACCATGCACCTATAATAAAAGGTGGAATAGATTAACTTATATTCTGATTCACATTCCTTTCTTTGTAGATATGATTTTCAATGAGGGTGAACTAGATTAAATCACAGTTTTACGGATCTGCTTTGTGTTCAATGATAGTGCTCCATATCTAATAAGATTTGGACTCGTGGTTATTGAGGTATTCAAATGTTTGTAGGTGGCTAAGGTTTTCTTTTTTCTAAACCTATTTATTTGGAAAAAAGAAGAGTACTTGCATGGAAATGCTGCTATGTCTTATTGAGCTATATATGAATTTAATATCTATATAGCAGTTTATAGTTACTTTTTTTTTTAATAATGAAGGAGTAATTTTTATTAATCACCGAAAAGATTATAAAAGAATGTTAGCGAAACAACTAAATCAAATCCGCAAAAACAAATACAACTCAACATGTACAAACAAAAAATTAACCAGCTACCAAGGAAATCTTCTTCCTTAATACCTGTAATGCACTCTGATCCTGCAGAAGCATAAGTCTACCTCCAAAAGGGAATGGTTCTACCACTGTGAGATCAATAGAAGACTTCAACTGGACTGCATAATTGGCCAAAAAATCAACCACAGCATTTGCCTCTCTGTACACATGGCAAATCTGGTGATCCAATCTCCTTAGTATCCCAAAAATCTGATCCTTAACACCCCATAACCTCCATGCAATTTCTGCCTTTCCCATAATCCTTCTTACCAAAATCTGAGAGTCAGTTTCTATCAAAACTCTATAAGCACCCAAATCATACCTCAACAACATCCTGAGTCTATCCAGCAGAGGAAGACACTCTGCTTGCATAGTGGTTCCTTCCCCATAAAAGGAAACAGCAGCTGCCACCATGTGCCCCTCAGGATTCCTTAAAACAGCAGCTTATAGTTACTTCGATCTATGCTCCAAGAGCTTAAAACAATCATTTTCTAGAAGAAGTTCTAAAGTAAAACTTGGATAGCAGCTTGTAGTTAAATGAATTTTGGCGATATACTTTTTCGTTCTTTTGATATTTGTTATCTTCACATGTGGTGGACTCCTTGCCCACTATAATGTAATCTATATATTGGTATATTGCTTTTAATGAAAGTTTTGTTTCTTATCAAAAAAAAAAAAAAAATAGAAATCGATTTATGCACGTATGTCTGCACAAATGTATATGGATACTCATAGAGTGTGAATATATGGTGATTGTGTTTGTATGTTGCGGGTGGGGTTCTTATCCACACATATATTAATTGAAGTGGAAGGATATTAGTTTATATATTTACTGACTTTCAATTTGGCCTTTGTAGATATGATGTTCAATACAACAATGAGGGTGAACTAGCTCAAGCCATAGTTTCAAGGATCTGCTTTGTGTTTTGTGGTAGTGTTCCTTATCTAGTCAATGGCTTTGTCGTCAACCTCAAAAAGGAGGTTCTGGGCAGCCTTCATCTATGTGGTTCTTTCTTCACCTGCATGTTCTGGGTTTTATCTGCCGGGA